GTAGGATAGGTTTCTGAAAAACATCGAGGGATTTGTGCACATTGTATGGGTGTGTGTTACATTACATTCACTAGTAGGAGTGACAAAAATATCACGGGGTGGTGCGCATTGTATGGGTGTGTGTTACATTACATTCACTAGTAGGAGTGAGAAAAACATCACGGGGTTGTGTGAATCTGAGGGTCTGAATTAGGATAGGCAGTGACTGGCAATGTAGGATGGAGAAAAGCAGCGCCGGTTGGTCAGCATGGGGAGGTCAGTGAACATGCAGTGGCAATGTACGATAGGTTTCTGAAAAACATCGCTGGGTGGTGCGCATTGTATGAGTGTGTGTTACATTACATTCACTAGTAGGAGTGAGAAAAACATGACGGGGTGGTGTGAATCGGAGGGTCTGAATTAGGATAGGCTGTGAGTGGCAATGTAGGATGCAGAAAAGCACCGCGGGTTGGTCAGCATGGGGAGGTCAGGGAACATGCAGTGGCAATGTAGGATAGGTTTCTGAAAAACATCGCGGGGTGGTGCGCATTGTATGGGTGTGTGTTACATTACATTCACTAGTAGGAGCGAGAAAAACATCACGGGGTGGTGTGAATCAGAGTGTCTGAATTAGGATAGGCAGTGAGTGGCAATGTAGGATGGAGAAAAGCATCGCGGTGTTGTCAGCATTGGGAGGTCAGGGAACATGCAGTGGCAATTTAGGATAGGTTTGTGAAAAACATCTCGGGGTGGTGCGCATTGTATGGGTGTGTGTTACATTACATTCACTAGTAGGAGTGAGAAAAACATCACGGGGTTGTGCGCATTGTATGGGTGTGTGTTACATTACATTCACTAGTAGGAGTGAGAAAAACAACACGGGGAGGTGCGCATTGTTTGGGTGTGTGTTACATTACATTCACTAGTAAGAGTAAGAAAAACATCACGGGGTGGTGCACATTGTGTGGGTGTGTGTTACATTACATTCACTAGTAGGAGTGAGAAAAATATCACGGGGTGGTGTGAATCGGAGGGTCTGATTTAGGATAGGCAGTGAGTGGCAATATAGGATGGAGAAAAGCACCGCGGGGTGGTCAGCATGGGGAGGTCAGGGAACATCCAGTGGCAATGTAGGATAGGTTTCTGAAAAACATCATGACGTGGTGCGCATTTTATGGGTGTGTGTTACATTACATTCACTAGTAGGAGTGAGAAAAACATCACAGGGTGGTATGAATCGGAGGGTCTGATTTAGGATAGGCAGTGACTGGCAATGTAGGATGGAGAAAAGCAGCGCCGGGTGGTCAGCATGGGGAGGTCAGTGAACATGCAGTGGCATTGTACGATAGGTTTCTGAAAAACATCGCGGGGTGGTGCGCATTGTATGGGTGTGTGTTACATTACATTCACTAGTAGGAGAGAGAAAAACATCATGGGGTGGTCTGAATCGGAGGGTCTGAATTAGGATAGGCAGTGAGTGGCAATGTAGGATGCAGAAAAGCACCGCGGGTTGGTCAGCATGGGGAGCTAGGGAACATGCAGTGGCAATGTAGGATAGGTTTCTGAAAAACATCGCGGGGTGGTGTGCATTGTACGGGTGTGTATCATTACATTCACTAGTAGGAGTGAGAAAAACATCGCAGGGTGGTGCGCATTGTATCGGTATCTGTTACATTACATTCACTAATAGGAGTGAGAAAAACATCACGGGGTGGTGAGAATCGGAGTGTCTGAATTAGGATAGGCAGTGAGTGGCATTGTAGGATGGAGAAAAGCCCCGCGGGGTGGTCAGCATTGGGAGGTCAGGGTACATGCTATGGCAATGTAGGATATGTTTATGAAAAACATCGCGGGGTGGTGCGCATTGTATGGGTGCCTCTTACATTACATTCACTATTAGGAGTGAGAAAAACATCACGGGGTGGTGTGAATCGGAGGGTCTGCATTAGGATAGGCAGTGAGTGGCAATGTAGGATGGAGACAAGCCCCGCGGGGTGGTCAGCATGGGGAAATCAGGGAACATGCAGTGGCAATGTAGGATAGGTTTCTGAAAAACATCGAGGGATTTGTGCACATTGTATGGGTGTGTGTTACATTACATTCACTAGTAGGAGTGACAAAAATATCACGGGGTGGTGCGCATTGTATGGGTGTGTGTTACATTACATTCACTAGTAGGAGTGAGAAAAACATCACGGGGTTGTGTGAATCTGAGGGTCTGAATTAGGATAGGCAGTGACTGGCAATGTAGGATGGAGAAAAGCAGCGCCGGTTGGTCAGCATGGGGAGGTCAGTGAACATGCAGTGGCAATGTACGATAGGTTTCTGAAAAACATCGCTGGGTGGTGCGCATTGTATGGGTGTGTGTTACATTACATTCACTAGTAGGAGTGAGAAAAACATGACGGGGTGGTGTGAATCGGAGGGTCTGAATTAGGATAGGCTGTGAGTGGCAATGTAGGATGCAGAAAAGCACCGCGGGTTGGTCAGCATGGGGAGGTCAGGGAACATGCAGTGGCAATGTAGGATAGGTTTCTGAAAAACATCGCGGGGTGGTGCGCATTGTACGGGTGTGTGTTACATTACATTCACTAGTAGGAGCGAGAAAAACATCACGGGGTGGTGTGAATCAGAGTGTCTGAATTAGGATAGGCAGTGAGTGGCAATGTAGGATGGAGAAAAGCATCGCGGTGTTGTCAGCATTGGGAGGTCAGGGAACATGCAGTGGCAATTTAGGATAGGTTTGTGAAAAACATCTCGGGGTGGTGCGCATTGTATGGGTGTGTGTTACATTACATTCACTAGTAGGAGTGAGAAAAACATCACGGGGTTGTGCGCATTGTATGGGTGTGTGTTACATTACATTCACTAGTAGGAGTGAGAAAAACAACACGGGAAGGTGCGCATTGTATGGGTGTGTGTTACATTACATTCACTAGTAAGAGTAAGAAAAACATCACGGGGTGGTGCACATTGTGTGGGTGTGTGTTACATTACATTCACTAGTAGGAGTGAGAAAAACATCACGGGGTGGTGTGAATCGGAGGGTCTGAATTAGGATAGGCAGTGAGTCGCAATGTAAGATGGAGAAAAGCACCGCGGGGTGGTCAGCATGGGAATGGCAGGGAACATGCACTGGCAATGTAGGATAGGTTTCGGAAAAACATCGCGGGGTGGTGCGCATTGTATGGATGTGTGTTACCTTACATTCACTATTAGGAGTGAGAAAAACATCACGGGATGGTGAGAATCGGAGGGTCTGAATTAGGATAGGCAGGGAGTGGCATTGTAGGATGGAGAAAAGCCCCGCGGGGTGGTCATCATGGGGAGGTCAGAGAAAATGCTGTGGCAATGTAGGATATGTTTGTGAAAAACATCGCGGTGTGGTGCGCATTGTATGGGTGCGTGTTACATTACATTCAATAGTAGGAGTGAGAAAAACATCACGGGGTGGTGCGCATTGTATGGGTGTGTGTTACATTACATTCACTAGTAGGAGTGAGAAAAATATCACGAGTGGTGTGAATCGGAGGTTCTGAATTTGGATAGGCAGTGAGTGGCAACGTAGGATGGAGAAAAGCACCGCGGGCGGTCAGCATAGGGAGGTCAGGGAACATGCAGTGGCAATGTAGGATAGGTTTCTGAAAAACATCGCGGGGTGGTGCGCATTGTATGGGTGCCTCTTACATTACATTCACTAGTAGGAGTGAGAAAAACATCACGGGGTGGTGTGAATCGGAGGATCTGCATTAGGATAGGCAGTGAGTGGCAATGTAGGATGGAGAAAAGCCCCGCGGGGTGGTCAGCATGGTGAGATCAGGGAAAATGCAGTGGCAATGTAGGATAGGTTTCTGAAAAACATCGCGGGGTTGTGCACATTGTATGGGTGTGTGTTACATTACATTCACTAGTAGGAGTGAGAAAAACATCACGGGGTGGTGCGCATTGTATGGGTGTGTGTTACATTACATTCACTAGTAGGAGTGAGAAATACATCACGGGGTGGTGTGAATCTGAGGGTCTGAATTAGGATAGGCAGTGACAGGCAATGTAGGATGGAGAAAATCAGCGCCGGTTGGTCAGCATTGGGAGGTCAGTGAACATGCAGTGGCAATGTACGATAGGTTTCTGAAAAACATCGCGGGGTGGTGCGCATTGTATGGGTGTGTGTTACATTACATTCACTAGTAGGAGTGAGAAAAACATCACGGGGTGGTGTGAATTGGAGGGTCTGAATTAGGATAGGCAGTCAGTGGCAATGTAGGATGCAGAAAAGCACCGCGGTTTGGTCAGCATGGGAAGGTCAGGGAACATGCAGTGGCAATGTAGGATAGGTTTCTGAAAAACATCGCGGGGTGGTGCGCATTGTATGGGTGTGTGTTACATTACATTCACTAGTAGGAGCGAGAAAAACATCACGGGGTGGTGTGAATCGGAGTGTCTGAATTAGGATAGGCAGTGAGTGGCAATGTAGGATGGAGAAAAGCATCGCGGTGTTGTCAGCATTTTGAGGTCCGGGAATGTTGGGAGCCGTGGCACTGTCAAGTCATCAGACGCGGTGATTGCGAGGCCTGTGGGAAAGTACAAAAGCCTGAGCTAGATTACCCCTCTCATCGAGCCCGCCTGTGTGGCACCTGTTTCTTATCACCCCACTAAGTTCCCGCCTCACAGGGTAGTCTGCCTAGCTATTAATCCTATATATAGCCAGTGCCTCCACCCCCGAGAGAGAGACTGAAGCACAAAAGGAGCCGCGGGGAGCGGACCGGTAGAGGCTTCGGGGGAGACTGAAGCACAAAAGGAGCCGCGGGGAGCGGACCGGTAGAGGCTTCGGGGCAGACTGAAGCACGGAAGGAGCCGCGGAGAGCGGACCGGTAGAGGCTTCGGGGCAGACTGTATAAGGAGAGAATAAAGAAAAGCCTGACCACCGCCAGACCTTGTCGTGTGTCTTTCCTGCCGGCCGGGAGTGACATTGACATTTGGTGGCCCGTACGGGAATGATCAACCCCGAGACGCGGCGGTGAACTGCATTCTCCTACACAGTGCTGCAGCTGCAGGACAGGTGAGTAGAGGGTAAGCCTGGGCCCTGGGTGGCGCGCACCTACAGGGTTTGTAGACTCCTCTCAACCTCACGCGTAAGTGGTGGGTTTCTTGGGTCTCACGCGGTGAGTATGAAACATAACACCAGAACTTAAGGTAATAAAAGAGTGTAAAACATAAACATAGAAGTAAAAATAACAGAAGATATATTAAAAATGGGAAACATGCCAAGTAAAGATACACAGCCTTGGTGTTGGTCCTTCGGAGACTCCTAAAGTCCAAGGACCTCAAGGTGGGGCGTAAGACTTTAGAAAATTTCCTTGCAGAGATTGACAGCTTTGCTCCCTGGTTTCTGCCTACAGGGCATGTAAACCTGCCCTCCTGGGAAAAGTTGGGCAGAGACCTTTCCCTAGCAGAGCGGGAGGGTAGAGCTTCAGTCTCTGCTCGTCCATTGTGGGAAATGATACACACGTGCCTAAAGAGTGAGGGTAGTTACGGGGGGAGCTCTCAAGAACTTGTAGAAGTACGCGAGGTGTTTGAACAGGCACAGTCAGGAAGCTCCCGACCGAGAAGGGTCCGTCAAGGAGGGCAGAGATACAAAAGAGGAAGCCGAGGCGCGGTTTGTGTCTTTCCGCAGGAATCGGGACGAGAGCCAATGTGGGTCCCAGAGAGGTTGACGCGACAAGTCCCTCGACTGAAGATCAGGCCTGTTCCACCAGAGGCCAACCGCAGACCCAACAACAAGATGAGCCCTAAAAGAACTGCAGGACGGTCCCTTTTTGGGGGCCTGGAACGGCTTGCTCCCCTATGTGCTAACCTTGTATACGCATGGCTCGCTCGCATGGCCTACGACCGCGTTTAAAAGTGACAGGCTTCCCACATTCTCCTCCCTAGACAACAACATGTAGCAGGGTGGGTGAGTCAATGACGGGTAAGAGCGTGCCTCCCCAGCACGACTCAACCTAAGCCAGGCCCTACCCCGTTCCGCTCGAAAGCCGCTGGATTGTTAGATAAATTTCTCTCCGAGGGGATTCGTGGAGAGAAATGAGTGCATGCCTATGTGCAACCAGGTTCCGTCCGGTTCATTCCTGGCCCTAGAAAAAAGGACGAGGGCCTCAGGGCCTTGGTGGACCCTGGGACGGCCGACCAGGGTCTACGCTAAGGGCCTACGGTGGGCCTCAGTTCGGGGCATAGGCCTCTGCACTCTATTCAGGACGGGCTGCGATGCGCGTAGCCATCATTTAAAATAAAATAGGGGGAGATGTTGGGAGCCGTGGCACTGTCAAGTCATCAGACGCGGTGATTGCGAGGCCTGTGGGAAAGTACAAAAGCCTGAGCTAGATTACCCCTCTCATCGAGCCCGCCTGTGTGGCACCTGTTTCTTATCACCCCACTAAGTTCCCGCCTCACAGGGTAGTCTGCCTAGCTATTAATCCTATATATAGCCAGTGCCTCCACCCCCGAGAGAGAGACTGAAGCACAAAAGAAGCCGCGGGGAGCGGACCGGTAGAGGCTTCGGGGGAGACTGAAGCACAAAAGGAGCCGTGGGGAGCGGACCGGTAGAGGCTTCGGGGCAGACTGAAGCACGGAAGGAGCCGCGGAGAGCGGACCGGTAGAGGCTTCGGGGCAGACTGTATAAGGAGAGAATAAAGAAAAGCCTGACCACCGCCAGACCTTGTCGTGTGTCTTTCCTGCCGGCCGGGAGCGACATCGACACGGGAACATGCAGTGGCAATGTAGGATAGGTTTGTGAAAAACATCGCGGGGTGGTGCGCATTGTATGGGTGTGTGTTACATTACATTCACTAGTTGGAGTGAGAAAAACATCACGGGGTTGTGCGCATTGTATGGGTGTGTGTTACATTACATTCACTAGTAGGAGTGAGAAAAACAACACGGGGAGGTGCGCATTGTATGGGTGTGTGTTACATTACATTTACTAGTAAGAGTAAGAAAAACATCACGGGGTGGTGCACATTGTATGGGTGTGTGTTACGTTACATTCACTAGTAGGAGTGAGAAAAACATCACGGGGTGGTGTTAATCGGAGGGTCTGAATTAGGATAGGCAGTGAGTCGCAATGTAAGATGGAGAAAAGCACCGTGGGGTGGTCAGCATGGGAAGGGCAGGGAACATGCAGTGGCAATGTAGGATAGGTTTCTGAAAAACATCGCGGGGTGGTGCGCATTGTATGTGTGTGTGTTACATTACATTCACTAGTAGGAATGAGAAAAACATCACGGGGTGGTGCGCATTGTATGGGAGTGTGTTACATTACATTCAGTAGTAGGAGTGAGAAAAACATCACGGGTGGTGTGAATCGGAGGTTCTGAATTAGGATAGGCACTGAGTGGCATTGTAGGATGGAGAAAAGCCCCGCGGGGTGGTCAGCATGGGGAGGTCAGGGAACATGCTGTGGCAATGTAGGATATGTTTGTGAAAAACATCGCGGGGTGGTGCGCATTGTATGGGTGTGTGTTACATTACATTCACTAGTAGGAGTGAGAAAAACATCACGGGGTGGTGCGCATTGTATGGGAGTGTGTTACATTACATTCACTAGTAGGAGTGAGAAAAACATCACGGGTGGTGTGAATCGGAGGTTCTGAATTTGGATAGGCAGTGAGTGGCAATGTAGGATGGAGAAAAGCACCGCGGGGTGGTCAGCATGGGGAGGTCAGGGAACATGCAGTGGCAATGTAGGATACGTTTCTGAAAAACATCGCGGGGTGGTGCGCATTGTATGGGTGTGTGTTACATTACATTCACTAGTAGGAGTGAGAAAAACATCGCGGGGTGGTGCGCATTGTATGGGTGTGTGTTACATTACATTCACTAGTAGGAGTGAGAAAAACATCACGGGGTGTTGCGCATTGTATGGGTTTGTGTTACATTACATTCACTAGTAGGAATGAGAAAAACATCACGGGGTGTTGTGAATCGGAGGGTCTGAATTAGGATAGGCAGTGAGTGGCAATGTAGGATGGAGAAAAGGACCGCGGGGTGGTAAGCATGGGGAGGTCAGGGAACATGCAGTGGCAATGTAGGATAGGTTTCTGAAAAACATCGCGGGGTGGTGCGCATTGTATGGGTGTGTGTTACATTACATGGACTAGTAGGAGTGAGAAAAACATCACGGGGTGGTGTGAATCGGAGGGCCTGTATTAGGATAGGCAGTAAGTGGCAATGTAGAATGGAGAAAAGCACCGCGGGGTGGTCAGCATGGGGAGGTCAGGGAACATGCAGTGGCAATGTAGGATATGTTTCTGAAAAACATCGCGGGGTGGTGCGCATTGTATGGGTGTGTGTTACATTACATTCACTAGTAGGAGTGTGAAAAACATCACGGGGTGGTGCGCATTGTATGGGTGTGTGTTACATTACATTCACTAGTAGGAGTGAGAAAAACATCACAGGGTGGTGCGCATTGTATGGGTGTGTGTTACATTACATTCACTAGTAGGAGTGAGAAAAACATCACGGGGTGGTGTGAATCGGAGGGTCTGATTTAGGATAGGCAGTGAGTGGCAATTTAGGATGGAGAAAAGCACCGCGGGGTGGTCAGCATGGGGAGGTCAGGGAACATCCAGTGGCAATGTACGATAGGTTTCTGAAAAACATCGCTGGGTGGTGCGCATTGTATGGGTGTGTGTTACATTAACTTCACTAGTAGGAGTGAGAAAAACATCACGGGGTGGTCTGAATCGGAGGGTCTGAATTAGGATAGGCAGTGAGTGGCAATGTAGGATGCAGAAAAGCACCGCGGGATGGTCAGCATGGGGAGCTCAGGGAACATGCAGTGGCAATGTAGGATAGGTTTCTGAAAAACATCGCGTGGTGGTGCGCATTGTACGGGTGTGTAACATTACATTCACTAGTAGGAGTGAGAAAAACATCGCGGGGTGGTGCGCATTGTATGGGTGTGTGTTACATTACATTCACTAGTAGGAGTGAGAAAAACATTACGGGGTGGTGAGAATCGGAGGGTCTGAATTAGGATAGGCAGTGAGTGGAATTGTAGGATGGAGAAAAGCCCCGCGGGGTGGTCAGCATTGGGAGGTCAGGGAACATGCTATGGCAATGTAGGATATGTTTTTGAAAAACATCGCGGGGTGGTGCGCATTGTATGGGTGCCTCTTACATTACATTCACTAGTAGGAGTGAGAAAAACATCACGGGGTGGTGTGAATCGGAGGGTCTGCATTAGGATAGGCAGTGAGTGGCAATGTAGGATGGAGAAAAGCCCCGCAGGGTGGTCAGCATGGGGAGATCAGGGAAAATACAGTGGCAATGTAGGATAGGTTTCTGAAAAACATCGCGGGGTTGTGCACATTGTATGGGTGTGTGTTACATTACATTCACTAGTAGGAGTGAGAAAAACATCACGGGGTGGTGCGCATTTTATGGGTGTGTGTCACATTACATTCACTAGTAGGAGTGAGAAAAACATCACGGGGTGGTGTGAATCTGAGGGTCTGAATTAGGATAGGCAGTTACTGGCAATGTAGGATGGACAAAAGCAGCGCCGGGTGGTCAGCATGGGGAGGTCAGTGAACATGAAGTGGCAATGTACGATAGGTTTCTGAAAAACATCGCGGGGTGGTGCGCATTGTATGGGTGTGTGTTACATTACATTCACTAGTAGGAGTGAGAAAAACATCACGGGGTGGTGTGAATCGGAGGGTCTGAATTAGGATAGGCAGTCAGTGGCAATGTAGGACGCAGAAAAGCACCGCGGGTTGGTCAGCATGGGGAGGTCAGGGAACATGCAGTGGCAATGTAGGATAGGTTTCTGAAAAACATCGCGGGGTGGTGCGCATTGTATGGGTGTGTGTTACATTACATTCACTAGTAGGAGCGAGAAAAACATCACGGGGTGGTGTGAATCGGAGTGTCTGAATTAGGATAGGCAGTGAGTGGCAATGTAGGATGGAGAAAAGCATCGCGGTGTTGTCAGCATTGGGAGGTCCGGGAACATGCAGTGGCAATGTAGGATAGGTTTGTGAAAAACATCTTGGGGTGGTGCACATTGTATGGGTGTGTGTTACATTACATTCACTAGTAGGAGTGAGAAAAACATCACGGGGTTGTGCGCATTTTATGGGTGTGTGTTACTTTACATTCACTAGTAGGAGTGAGAAAAACAACACGGGGAGGTGCGCATTGTATGGGTGTGTGTTACATTACATTCACTAGTAAGAGTAAGAAAAACATCACGGGGTGGTGCACATTGTATGGGTGTGTGTTACGTTACATTCACTAGTAGGAGTGTGAAAAACATCACGGGGTGGTGTTAATCGGAGGGTCTGAATTAGGATAGGCAGTGAGTCGCAATGTAAGATGGAGAAAAGCACCGCGGGGTGGTCAGCATGGGAAGGTCAGGGAACATGCTGTGGCAATGTAGGATATGTTTGTGAAAAACATCGCGGGGTGGTGCGCATTGTATGGGTGCGTGTTACATTACATTCACTAGTAGGAGTGAGAAAAACATCACAGGGTGGTGCGCATTGTATGTGTGTGTGTTACATTACATTCACTAGTAGGAGTGAGAAAAACATCACGGGTGGTGTGAATCGGAGGTTCTGAATTTGGATAGGCAGTGAGTGGCAATGTAGGATGGAGAAAAGCACCGCGGGGTGGTCAGCATGGGGAGGTCAGGGAACATGCAGTGGCAATGTAGGATACGTTTCTGAAAAACATCGTGGGGTGGTGCGCATTGTATGGGTGTGTGTTACATTACATTCACTAGTAGGAGTGAGAAAAACATCGCGGGGTGGTGCGCATTGTATGGGTGTGTGTTACATTACATTCAATAGTAGGAGTGAGAAAAACATCACGGGGTGTTGCGCATTGTATGGGTTGGTGTTACATTACATTCACTAGTAGGAATGAGAAAAAACATCACGGGGTGTTGTGAATTGGATGGTCTGAATTAGGATAGGCAGTGAGTGGCAATGTAGGATGGAGAAAAGGACCGCGGTCTGGTAAGCATGGGAAGTCAGGGAACATGCAGTGGCAATGTAGGATAGGTTTCTGAAAAACATCACGAGGTGGTGCGCATTGTATGGGTGTGTGTTACATTACATTGACTAGTAGGAGTGAGAAAAACATCACGGGGTGGTGTGAATCAGAGGGTCTTTATTAGGATAGGCAGTGAGTGGCAATGTAGGATTGAGAAAAGCACCGTGGGCTGGTCAGCATGGGGAGGTCAGGGAACATGCAGTGGCAATGTAGGATAGGTTTCTGAAAAGCATCGCGGGGTGGTGCGCATTGTATGTGTGTGTGTTACATTACATTCACTAGTAGGAGTGAGAAAAACATCACGGGGATGTGTGCATCGGAGTGTCTGAGTTAGGGTAGGCAGTGAGTGGCAATGTAGGATGGAGAAAAGCACCGCAGGGTGGTCAGCATGCGGAGGTCAGGGAACACGCTGTATCAATGTAGGATAGGTTTGTGAAAAATATCGCGGGGTGGTGCGCATTGTATGGGTGTGTGTTACATGACATTCACTAGTAGGAGTGAGAAAAACATCACGGGTTTGTGTGAATCGGAGGGTCTGCATTAGGATAGGCAGTGAGTGGAAATGTGGGATGGAGAAAAGCCCCGCGGGGTGGTCAGCATGGGGAGATCAGGGAACATGCAGTGCCAATGTAGGATAGGTTTCTGAAAAA